TATATACATATAAATATATATAACACAAATGGTGGGAGATACATTACGCGCATTATAAGCCACACCTGTCATTCTCCATGAAATAGTAGAGATCATTGACACTCAGATCTGGAGCTCCTATTCGCTTGAGTTGACGACTAAGGTTGCGACCTGTGAGTATTCGGTTGATTGTTCGCAATAGTAACGCCAATTTTGGAGATGATTTCCTCATACAAGGACGCTAATCTGATAGCACAAAAGTGGATAAGCGAATTGATCGACAACTCCTAGCACACGCTAAGGACCAAATCATCAATTCGTTCCGTGAAAAAGGGTCTAAAACTTAGTATCGAGTGGGGGTCACCTAGACGCTTTGTGGTAATCGAATCAGCAGATTACAGAAGATTGAATGTGTTGAAGCCAGAGAAGTTCCCCTTTTGACATATGTGCCAATCCACACACAAACCAGACGATGTGCGAGGTGTTCCCAATCACAAATACAAGGATAGTGATATATGTACACGCATATACAAGCTTATTGATAATCGCAGACATATTTACGCAACCACGTTCAACAACGATACCTAGTCACATCTACAACTATAATACCCTCCATGAACACTAGATTCCCATGAACATATCGTCTACAATCGAGAAAAAGATCTGAGAAAAATGTTCCGTAGTCCATACACAGAGGCTAACCATATTGACCGATGAGCAAACAGCTTAGAATACCCACCGTATAAAATACGAACACGGTACACGAAGAGTATCATCAGGGCACACTTTGCACTCAATTCAAACACAAAGTTAGCATCAGGATATACTTCGCATTCGGTTCACAAGCAGTATCAGAACATCTTTGCAGCCAATACAATAGCAGTAGTCGAACGCACGTCACATTCGGTACACGAAGAATCATTCACAGATAGTACTAGGACATATCTCGCATGCGGTCGACAAAGAGAATTAGAATATGCATCAAAGTCTATACAATAGCAGCCACAAGACGCACATCACCTCCGATACACCGAGGATCTTTCACAGGTAGCATCAGGACATACTTCGCATTCGATATACAAAGAGCATTAGGATGATCTCTTGTGGTGATGGGGTGCGTGTGGTGAGCGAGTCGGACGTATGCTCAGAAGGAGGCTGTTTGCCTTTCTTGGATCCCTTATTCGAACCACTTGTGCTGACAAAGGGGAGTGGAAATAGGTATAAGTATCCAAAAAAGCTGGATCGATTCGTACCGAAACTTAACTTACACTCGACACTATGTAGAACGCAATAAAACATTTTTTGACATCCACAGGTATGTGCCAGGATTAGATACGTCACTCACGGGTAACATGCGCTTAAGTGTTTAACTCTGGAGGGTATGTTTGTCAGCAATGTACAGAAGAGATAATAGTTGCATATAACATGCCGAGCAGGTAGAAGTTGTGGTGCATTCAGACAACCAAAACTCAGCTTTCATGTGCAGAGGACAGCCCGAAATACCTGGCAGCGTTACTTGCCAAGTCCTTCAGACTTGTCTTCGAAGCGGTCCGTAGCCGTTGGAATGCATTGGTATTCGGAGATGGCAAGGGCTTTACTAATTCTAAAATACGTATGTCACCAGTTCTGAGAGATACGAATTGGAATTAGTCAGCCTTTTTTGTTTACGTTGTGCTCGGCAATTTGATTTTGGGACTGTGTCGATTTCAAAGTGGAATACGAGATGATTTACCAAACTGTGTCAAGAAATTTTGATGAGATGGAGACCGAATTTCTAGATATAACTCAATAGGCAAACTTCAACAGAGAAGCATCCCACGACCCAAATTGAGACATACGAAGATTTGGGAAGCAAATGCTAAATAAGTCATCCTATATGTGTCACAAACAGACACACACACATACAGTATGAACATAAATGCATTGAGGATTCACATCAACCCACATACTCATTCATAAAATATATACATACATACATACATACATACACACACACACTTATATATATATATATATATATATATATATACACACATACACACACACACACACACACGCACACACACACACACACACACACATATATA